TCAGCTCTTCAGCTCAAGGCGAGCACTCTACCACTTGAGCCACAGCACCACTTCCAGTTTTCTGGTGGTTTATTGGAGATAAAGAGTCTCACGGACTTTCCTGCCCAGGGTGGCTTTGAACTATGATCCTCAGATCTCAGCCTCCTAAGTAGCTAGGATTACAGGTGTGAGCCTGTAATGCTGGTTTTTAATAGTGCTGATTTTTAATATTTTTCATGTCTAAACTCATGATTTAAAAAATCTATTCAAATTATACAACTCTTAGGAAAACAAAAAGTTCTATTTTATAAAGATTTCTAAAAAGTTGATGATTACAGTTTTATGGGTTTTTTTTGTTTTGTTTTTGTTTTGCTTTTGGTATCAGTCATGGAGCTTGAACTCAGGGCATGGGTGCTGTCCCTGAGGTTTGGTTTTGTTGTTCAAGCCTAGTGCTCTACCACTATATCTACAATTCCATTTCTGGCTCTTTTGGTAGTTAACTGGAAATAAAGAGTCTCATGGGCTTTCTGGCCCAGGCTGGCTTCAAACCATTAATCCTTAGATCTCAGCCTCCTATGTAGTAGTATTACAAGCATGAACCACCAATGCCCCTGGCACAAGCAGTTTTTTTCCATGTACAAATGACTAAAGTCAAATATGGGAAATATGAGATGGTACTGTGGGGTTACTGTAGCTGTGCAGGATGCTTCAACTGGGGATGTGGGGAAAAGGTTCGGCTCTGCCTTATTTCTAATAACTGCCTTAGACTCTACAATTCTCTCAAGAAAATTTCAATTTGAGCAGTTTTATAAGAAAATAGATCATGAGTCCTAATTTTTCTAAGCCAGTCTTATGTGCAGTTGAAACTAATCTGTACAAGAGGCAGTCAAGAAGCCAAGCTGAAAGGGTTTCATTCTCACAAGTCTTAAAAATATCTGAATCCTGGGCTGGGAAGGTGGCTCAGTGGCAGAGCGCTTGCCTTGCATGCCTAAGGCCCTGGGTTCAATTCCTCAGCACCACATAGGCAAAAAGAAAAAAGCCGGAAGTGGCGCTGTGGCTAGCCTTGAGCTGAAGAGCTGAGGGATAGCGCCCAGGCCCAGAGTTCAGGCCCCACGACCGGACCCAAAAAAAAAAAAGAAACTTCATGCCAAGAAATTTTATAATTTCTTTTTCTCAAGGTTTACTTTGGAGCTTAGGGCTCGGAGTTCAAAACCCCACTCCCAACAAAAATAAATAAAAGTTTACAAATGACAATACCAATTCCTTTCTCAAACAGAAATATCCCTTTAAATAACCAGTGGTAGTAGAAAACTCTTGCAGTGTTCTGCAGATGAAATGTACAGTCTCCAGCCAATGATATCCAAGGCTTTTCTATTATAGGAATTCTAGAAATAGAAAGGGCAAGCAAGGTTTCTGATCCTTCCTCTCCTCATCCAAAGTGGGTCTTTAGAGCTGTACTGCCATTCTTTCCTGTGCGAGGCCTTCACAGAGGCCTTTCCTGAGCGCCTCAAAAGCAGAATGTTACAATATCTTCACTAGCTTACTATGAAATTTCATATGGAATACCCTTTGTTGTAACAAAATACAGTTAAATAGTACTTAAAATAGAAACTGAATCTAATTCTATTTCTTCTAAGGAAGCTGTATTAAAACCAAAAAAGGCAGAGATATGATATGAGTAACACTGAAGGGTAAAAGAACAAAAATAGTAGCTAAGAAGCATTCAGCCCTACGACAAATGGACAGCAAAATAAACAGTTGCCAACTTACGCTGGGTTCTACCTCGGGATGAGCTTGTGCCTCAGTGTCTGGTAAATCACATGCCCGGAGCACTTCGGGGCTCTTGGTGCCACTCTGAAATCTCAAGTCAACATCTCTCTGTCTCAAAACATCTCTTCTATACTCATAAGTTTTGTCATAAGGGCCTTGCTCAATGGAGCCAGCTGGACCCCTATAATAGAAATCTGCATCACCTGCTCCACCACGGAGTCTATAATCAATTTCCTTCTGTCGTTGTCTGTCACCTGGCGGCAGTGCCTGGGGAGGGTCTCGCTCAGGACCACTGAAATGCCTTAGCACACTAACTGATTTTCCAGCACCATAGCAGAAGCTCTGAAAGGAAAAGAAATATGTTTCACTGAGGACCTAATGGATGCCTTATAATTCACTTATAAGCCATCTTCGTTAGTAAGTATAAACAAAAATATTTTGTTTCATTAAAAACCTCTTCTTTTGATGAATACAGGCTAGGACAGCAATAAAATTGAAAACTCTATTCAACAGTACCTTTTCAATCAGCTACACAGGTTTTTATGGAATTTATAACAAGAGCAGGCTGAGGTCTCGAAATTTAAATTAGTTCCAGCTGAGCTCTGGAGGCTCAGCCTATAATCCTAGCTATTCAGGAGGCTGAGAACTGGGGGGGAGAGGGGAAAAGCTGACCCAGGCAGAAAAGTCTACAAGGCTCTCTCTTCAAGTAACCAGCAAAAACCTGACTAGAGATAAATTTCAGCTCAAGTAGCAGAGCACCAGCCATGAGCAAGCAAACTAAGTGACAGTATGAGGCCAAGTTCAAGCCCTGTTGGGGTAAGGCGGGGGAGAAGGAGTTAAAATTATCTAGTAGGATTGGGAAGGTGGCTCAGTGGTAGAGTGCTTGCCTTGCATGCATGAGGTCCTGGGTTCGATTCCTCAGCACCACATAAGCAAAAAGAAAAAAGCCGGAAGTGGTGGCGTGGCTTAAGTGGTAGAGCACTAGCCTTGAGCTGAAGAGCTGAGGGACAGCGCCCAGGCCCAGAGTTCAGGCCCCACAACCAGCAAAAAAAAAAAAAATCTAGTAATTTCTCAGTATTTATATATCATATCAAAATATGATACCTATATCATATAAATGCTTAAGATTTTTAAAAATTATATGTCACCATGCAAATGTTCTGCAGATTTTTTTTTTTACAAACATAAAGTTGGCTTAAGCTACATCTAAAATTCAACAGATTCTCACATTCTATGGGACAAGCTTGGCAGCAGCACTGCCAAATGTGAGCCAGGACTCCTGACTTCCAGTTGAAACTTCATCATATGACGACCCTATTTCTCACTCCCTCAGGAGTGACGGCAAGCCTGAGGCTGACAGCTCAGGCAAATGACTTTGTACTTGTATTTTTTTTAATTTCTCAATTTAATGTGGTAAACTGGAGCATTGATCTCATAAATAAGAGTTCACTGTAGTCTGCAATTTTTAAGGCAGCAAAGGGATTCTAAGATCAAAACGATGAAAGTATAATAGAACTATAGTTAAGTACTATTAGAAGACAGAAGCAACAAATCAGTCTTAACATTCCTTAGGGATAGAATGAAGCAACAGGAAATAATGAACGCAGGCAGGATGGTGCATGCCTGCAGTCTGTTAGCCTTGGGAGGCTTAAGCAGGAGGCTGGCTCGAGTTCAGGACTTTAAGATCAACTGAGGCAACATAGTATGACTTAATGTCAAAAAACAAACAGGAATGATAAAGCTTTTGTTCAAAGTTTTAGATTTAGAGACTAAACTATTATAGAACTAATGTCACATAATATATACTTATGAATCATTGGATCCTGAAAAGCAAAAAAATGAATGATTTCAAAGTAAATAAAGCATACTGAATTTTATATCCTTAAGGAGAATTTCCCATGGCACATATGGGTTCTTGATGTGGCAAATGAATTTTGAATAACAGATAAAAATCAACAACAAAGCTGCTAAACAGAAGATGGATGAATGATGAACAATATTTTTTCTTTTGTTTAGGTTCTGGGGCTTCAACTCAGGGCCTGAATGTTGTCCCTGAGTTTTTATGCCTAAGATTAGCTATTCTACCACAGCTCCACTTCCAGTTTTCTGGTTGTTAATTAGAGATGAGAGTCTCAGACTTCCCTGCCCAGGCTGGCTTTGAAACACTTATCCTCAGATCTCAGCCTTCTGCATGGCTAGGATTATACGTGTGAGCCACTGGCACCCGGCAATGAACAACACTTTAATAAATGTCTTTGGATCCCCCATACTGTTCCCAGTACCGCTTCCCTTCCACATTCTCATTCTATTTTTAATCTAATACTCTCTTTTCTCAGTGATGTCATAACTCCGATTGGAATAAGAAGGCCTATTTTTTTTCAAAGAGGAAGTAATGAACCCATTTCCTGCATACTGATTTACTAACTTTAAAAAATAAATTTAAAAAGGTTATTCTAAATCACTGCTACCTACCACCTATAGAGAACCACTTTTTTATTAAAGTAATAATACATAAGTATAAATAAATATTTCATTTAAAAATCACTTTCTTGTACCATTGGGTGTGGTGATACATGCCTGTAATCCCTGCATCTGGGAGGTAGAGACAGGTGATTAACAGGTTCAGGGCTAGCCTGGGCTACAAAGCAAGATCCTGGCTTAGAACAGCAAGCATGACTTGGCCTGATTTACAATATCAAAAAAAAAAAAACTAATAATTCTAGACTTTCCTTTTCTCCTACATTCTGTTAAATATTATAGTGCTTAGATACTAACCAGGACAGCCAATGCTATGATTATCAGTACTGGAATTTGCAGTAACACTGGAATTTCCTTCATGAGCGCTCTAATAAATTCACCAGTTCCTTTTCCAATGTGCTTTAAGGGCTCTGTTACGAAGTTGGTAAATGTAACTGCCAGTGCCTAAAAACAAAATATAAAAGCAACTTAAGCTTCTCCTCAAAAGGACTGAGACAAACAGAACAAGCCAAAATTCACTGTGCACAGAGGCTAACGTTATGTTACAAAAACTGAAATGCTTATACACACTTTTAATTTTTATTTATTTATTTTTTAGTGAGGCTAGGGATCAAGCCTTCATACATGCTAGGCCAAGTGAACTACCCTTGCCATATGCCCCAATTTTTTTTTTTTTTTGGTCGGTCGTGGGGCTTGAACTCTGGGCCTGGGCGCTGTCCCTCAGCTCTTCAGCTCAAGGCGAGCACTCTACCACTTGAGCCACAGCACCACTTCCAGTTTTCTGGTGGTTTATTGGAGATAAAGAGTCTCACGGACTTTCCTGCCCAGGGTGGCTTTGAACTATGATCCTCAGATCTCAGCCTCCTAAGTAGCTAGGATTACAGGTGTGAGCCTGTAATGCTGGTTTTTAATAGTGCTGATTTTTAATATTTTTCATGTCTAAACTCATGATTTAAAAAATCTATTCAAATTATACAACTCTTAGGAAAACAAAAAGTTCTATTTTATAAAGATTTCTAAAAAGTTGATGATTACAGTTTTATGGGTTTTTTTTGTTTTGTTTTTGTTTTGCTTTTGGTATCAGTCATGGAGCTTGAACTCAGGGCATGGGTGCTGTCCCTGAGGTTTGGTTTTGTTGTTCAAGCCTAGTGCTCTACCACTATATCTACAATTCCATTTCTGGCTCTTTTGGTAGTTAACTGGAAATAAAGAGTCTCATGGGCTTTCTGGCCCAGGCTGGCTTCAAACCATTAATCCTTAGATCTCAGCCTCCTATGTAGTAGTATTACAAGCATGAACCACCAATGCCCCTGGCACAAGCAGTTTTTTTCCATGTACAAATGACTAAAGTCAAATATGGGAAATATGAGATGGTACTGTGGGGTTACTGTAGCTGTGCAGGATGCTTCAACTGGGGATGTGGGGAAAAGGTTCGGCTCTGCCTTATTTCTAATAACTGCCTTAGACTCTACAATTCTCTCAAGAAAATTTCAATTTGAGCAGTTTTATAAGAAAATAGATCATGAGTCCTAATTTTTCTAAGCCAGTCTTATGTGCAGTTGAAACTAATCTGTACAAGAGGCAGTCAAGAAGCCAAGCTGAAAGGGTTTCATTCTCACAAGTCTTAAAAATATCTGAATCCTGGGCTGGGAAGGTGGCTCAGTGGCAGAGCGCTTGCCTTGCATGCCTAAGGCCCTGGGTTCAATTCCTCAGCACCACATAGGCAAAAAGAAAAAAGCCGGAAGTGGCGCTGTGGCTAGCCTTGAGCTGAAGAGCTGAGGGACAGCGCCCAGGCCAAGAGTTCAGGCCCCACGACCGGACCCAAAAAAAAAAAAAAAAAATCTGAATCCTGGGATCTATTTGTAGATCCTACTAAGACACTATTTGTCAGTTATTATGGACTTGTATTGATAAGGTGTTTTTGAACATTAAATCCTTTCTAGTGCTGTCTATAGATTAAATACAGACAACTTACATGGCCAACATTAGAATTTAAAAAACATTATTTTTCCTTTATTTTAAAAAAAACCTATAGTAAAGATATAATGCAAGATCTCCTAAGTCAATATAAGTAGATGATAAGGAGATGATAGCTAAATGCCTGTTTAGCTGCGTATTCATTCACTTCAGTAAACTTCTGTTGTGGCCTACAAAAGGCTAAGAGCCAGGTAAACAAACTGAAGCGGGTACAGGATCTTCAGTCTGATGGAGGAGGGCCAACCTCAGAGCCAGCACATACATGCTCTCTATTTCTTCCTTGTGATGTTACATGAACCACCAAGCTACTGATTTTAAAGTCTAAATTCCTATTGCATGGTTTTAGTTACTTTTATTAGGTTTCTTAAGTTTTTTTTAGTCTATCAGTTTTTGCAATGCTGGGGACCAAACCCAGGGACCCATATATGGGAGGTAAGTGTTCTACCACTGAGCCTCACCCCCAGCCCTTTTTATTTTCAGACATAAAGTCATCCAGTCTGGTCTCTAAATTTGTGATCCTTCCGCCTCAGCCTCAAAAGCAGCTGGGATTATAAGCTTACACCACCATACCTGGCTGCATTTTCTTTACATTAAAAGTTCAGTCATAGAAAGCTACATTTCATCATTTTCCTTACAACTACTATTTTGTCTCATTCTCAGAAATTCTATTCAGAATAGGAACAAGTGAACACTCCTTACCCCAGAGACTTCCAATCCAATCCATCTTCTCAGCACACGCATTGTTCAATGGTTCCAACTTGGCAACTTCAGCCTGGTGCTGTGCAAAAGCTAGCTGGCAAATATGAAAAGGGAACTATGAAAGGCTGCTGAGAAGAAGGCTCTGTCTTCACACCCCCAAAACCACAGCTCAAAGTCTACCATTCATACAAATCAGACTGTTTACAGATTTTTAACAGAAAAGAAGTTTTTTTTGTTTTTGTTTTTTTTTCCCGCCAGGTGCCAGTCTCACGTCTATAATCCTAGCTACACAGGAGGCTGAGATCTTAGGATCATTGTTCAAAGTCAGCCCAGGCAGAAAAGTCCCTGTGAGACTCTAGTCTCCAATTAACTACTCAGAAACCAGGAGTAGAGCTATGGCTCAAAGTAGTAGAGTACTAACCGTGAGCAAAAGAGCTCAGGGATAGCACCCAGGCCCTTAGTCTGAGCGCCATGACTGACCAAAAACAAAACAAAACAAAACATCTTTTTTGTGTGTTGGTCCTAGGGCTTAATAAATTCAGAGCTAGGCACTGTCCCTGAGCTTTTGCTCAAGGCTAGTGTTCTAACACTTGAGCCACAGCACCTCTTCTGGCTTTTGGATAGTTAATTGGAGATAAAAGCCAGCCTGGAGCTGGGCGCTGGTGGCTCACACCTGTAATCCTAGCTACTTAGGAGGCTGAGATCTGAGGATGAGGTTCAAAGCCAGCCCGGGCAAGAAACTCCGTGGTACTCTTATCTCCAATTAACCACCAGAAAACCTGAAGTGAAGCTGTGGCTCAAGTGGTAGAACACTCACCCTCAGCCGAAGAGCTGAGGGGCAGTGCCCAAGCCCAGAGTTCAAGCCATACCACCGACCAAAAAAAAAAAAGCCAGCCCAGGCTGGTTTCAAACCATGATTCTCAGATGTTGCCTCCAAACTAGCTAAGATTACAGTTGTAAGCCACTGGTACCAACTAGAAATGTATAATCTTTTTAAAGACATTAAAAAACTAAGGATAGTCTTAGTGCAACAAGGATAAAGAATTAAGTATAACTGCCTTTTTGTACATAATTATGAAAGAAAACTTATTAAAGATTGTATTGCAGTCAGTAGTACTCACTAGACACTGTTAAAAAAAAAGATTATGCTGCAAATTATACAACTTGAAAGGGAGTGGGACTGGGAGGGAAAAAACTGGGAGAAAACAAGGGTAGCGGTGACACTGTTCAAAAAGAAATGTACCATAAACCCTCTGAACATCACCTTTACAATAAAAAAAAATTAAAGATTTTTAAATTAGTTCAAATATGACTTATACTATTGAAAAATTAGTTTAAAAGCAGTTTGTAGTACTTGAAATACAGCTATCCAAATTAAATGACTATTTCTTCCTTTTTTTTTTGGGGGGGTGGTCAGTTGTGGGCTTGAACTCTGGGCCTGAGTGCTGTCCCTCAGCTCTTCAGCTCTTGCTCTACCACTTGAGCTACAGCACCACTTCCAGTTTTCTGGTGGTTTATTGGAGATAAGAGTCTCATGGACTTTCCTGCCCGGACTGGCTCTGAACCACGATCCTCAGATCTCAGCCTCCTGAGTAGCTAGGATTACAGGTGTGAGCCACTGGCGCCCGGTTCTCTCCCATTTTTGTAATTCATGGTGAAATGGTGTTTTGCTCTGGATGGTTTTGAGTAAATGATCTCTAGTGCAGCTGCCCTCACATTCATAACGTCTGTATCGACAGAGCAGTACCCCCAATCCGCATATGGCTGACAAGTTCCAACTGCTGCCTTCCACCCACATCTGAGGCAAGACTGCTCTATGTGGATTAGTGTTTATTGCAGACTTGAAAATAAAAAAATAATAATCCTAAAACTTATTTTGAGGCTCCACTTATACAATACCTTATACAAATATATCCAATTCCATCCAAAACTGAAGAGAAAACTGATGAAGAACACTCGTCTCAGTTGGGTATACCAGCGGACGTACGTCCAGAGCTCAGTTGCTACCAACACAACGATACAGAGCAGACACAGAAGGACCTGAAAACAGAAGCAGAGTCAGCCAGCGGCAAGCCAGCCTACCTGCCAGAAAACCCCAGCCATCAGCCAAACAACAGGACTCAAATACACAAAACCATGTGTGTGATTTCACTGTCTGTTCATCACTGAAATGACTAAATACAGGCTCTTGTGGTAAACATTGTAAAAAAAAAAATTGTAAAAATAAGGGAAGGTAAATAGTGTGTAGATTATATTTTATGTGCATAAAATAATACATACACGTGTCTAATGAACCAATGTGAAAAACAAAAATATCTGTGAAACCATTTTAAAAAATGATCTCATCTTACCATTAACACATTATATGGATCCACTCCAAAGTAATCTTCAAATCGCCACTTCCATGTTTCAAAATCATGAAACTTGAAGTTTATTAAAATATCACTCAGCGCATCATCCAAGGCTCCTGACTTCCATTCCTCTCCACTGAGAAATTTCTGTATTTCTAGTAAAGTTTGCCTTTTAAGGATAATTTCAGCATCATAATGCATATCACCGTTGTTTTCATCAGGCTGAATTAAATTTACAAAAAACCAAACAAAAGAAAGGAGAATTTTATTATTACCATACTCACTTAAGCATTAAAAGCCAGTCTGGAACTAAGTATATCATTTGTTTGCTACTCCAATACAGCAAAGGAGAGAAATAAGTACAATTACAATATTTTACACATTTTAGAAAACACAGAAAATACTATGTGTCTTCAGGGCCAACATAAAAACCAAAGATGGTATCTGTGAAAACTGGTTTAAAATTATAATCCAGTGCTAATGGCTCACACTTGTAATTCTAGCTACTAAGGAGGCTGAAAGCTGAGGATCACAGATTGAAACCAGCCCAGGCAGGAAAGTCTATTAGACTCTTTTCTCCAATTAGCCACCAAAAAAATCCAGAAATGGAGTTGTGGCTCAAAGTGGTAGAGCTCTAACCTTGAGCTTTTATAAAAGCTTAGGGACAGTGCCCAAGCCCTGAGTTCAAGCCACAAGACAGGCACCAAAAAAGAAACGAGAAAATTAGAACTCTATACAAGAGAGACACAGCAAATTTTACTAGAATACAGTTGACTCTTGCTACATGTTGCTCTAGCTACAGTTGCTCTTGATACTTTTACATAATTTTGTATGTATGTATATGTGACATTTAATGTATATTGTTGATTTATTCCCATTAAACCACAGCCAACAGTCACATCTGATGGAGCTTGCTAATGCAGGTATCTTCCCTGTAAGGCAAACTGTCACTGACTTATATCTAGAAACATTACAAAGCATTTCAACTATACACCGCCTCCAAAGTATGAAGAATATAGCACAGTGAAGACAGCAGAAAATCAATCACACTAAATACAGCTGAAAAATACAATGGTTTGCAGTACTAAAGCAGAAATGAGAAGGCAGTAGTGTCACTGCCTTGTTCCGCTGGGAATGGGGCATCAGCCAATTCCAACTTTTGGCCACTCTGCATGTGCCCAAGATGAACCACAAAATTACCTCAAGTATTGATTTTGAAATAAAAAAATAAATTTAGCCGGGCGCCGGTGGCTCACAGCTGTAATCCTAGCTACTCAAGAGGCTGAGATCTGAGGATCGTGGTTCAAAGCCAGCGCAGATGGAACATCGAGAGACTCTTTATCTCCAATTAACCACCAGAAACCAGAAAGTGGAGTTGTGGCTCAAGTGGTACAGTGCTAGTCTTGAGCTGAAGAGCTGGACAACATCCAGGCCCAGAGTTCAAGCCCTATTACCAACAGAAACTAATTAATTAATTTAGTGACTAGTTAAGTTCATCAATATGAAATCTGCAAATCACGATTGCATATCTAAATTTTACAATTGTTTATGACTTGTCATTGGGTATAAAATTTTCATGTAGCCTAAAATGAAAAGAAGTTCAAATTATAAACAATAGCTAATACAAATAAGCACTCTATTTTTTATAAGAGTAAATATAATTTTTAAAGAACCAATATAAAAAACGTTACATCTTCAGAAAGCATAACAATGTTATCATTGACTTTTTTTTTTTAATTGGGGATTATGTCCAAATTCTCCTCTCACCTTATGGTACTGACGACTGAAAGTTACCGCTTCCAGCATGCCACTGAGCAGCATCCTCAGCCTCAATCTCTATCCTAAGTATTTTCTAGCTCCATCCGTTTCCTCATCTAGGCTCTGTTCCACTCTGTACACAGTTCTAAGACTTAAATCAGAAAATTTACAAGCCAAGTGTGGTGGTTCATAAGCCACACTTAAGTTATTCATCTAACTCCTTCCACAAAGATCTGGCCCCCAACCCTAGATCAATCTAGGGTAACATATGTGATAAGAGGGAAAATCTGTATGCTTAAAAATGTGCTCCTAAAAAAGGGACAATGTTCACACTCTGGGTTCAGGCCCCAAAATTGACACACACATAAAAAAAAACTCTGGTGTACACATACAAAAAAAAAAGCATAGACATGGTAGACAAGAAGTAGTGAGAGGCTGGAAATGTGGCTTAGTGGTAGAGTGCTTGCCTAACACGCATGAGGCCCTAGGTTCGATTCTTTGGTAACATACACAGAAAATGCCAGAAGTGGCGCTCAGGCTCAAAAGGTAGAGTGCTAGCCTTAAGCAAAAGAAGCTTGTGCCCAGGCCCTGAGCTCAAGCCCCAGGATAAAGAAAAGAAAAAAGAAAAGAAAAGGGGAAGGGAGGGAGGGGAAGAGGAAGGGGAAAGGAAAGGAAAGGAAAGGAAAGGAAAGGAAAGGAAAGGAAAGGAAAGGAAAGGAAAGGAAAGGAAAGGAAAGGAAAGGAAAGGAAA